AATAAATAGAACTGGTATTAGTAATGATGAATTGTATAACAGTATAACAAGTTCTGAAAGTTTCTATTACAAAAAAGTTCAAAAAATTGTAATGTTTTCTGAATAGAATAATATAATTAATAAAATAACCACATTATATAAAATTAATTAAAATTAATTTTATTTTTTTTGTGTTATAAGCAGCAATCTTGCCTGTCTGTCTTTTATTGAGTAATATCTAGTTATTAATGAATACATAGTTTATTAATGAAAGTATAACTAGCCACACATATAACTTTAATTATTATCTAATTAAGGATTCCGCCCGAAGGTTACCTACTAGCTACCATACCTGAGATCCACCTGTGAATCCTCTATTTAAACTTTCTGATTTTCAATCCTATGCATTATAACCTTCCATTACTACATGGACATACCAGGTTAGAGCTATCTAATTACTATTTATATTAAGATACTATCTCATTGGATGTTACCGAGTATCCATAGTCCTTTGAATTTACTCTTGACACAAACTTACTAAGTATGGTACCAAGATTACCCCCCTTAGATTTTTATCCGTGTTAGTATATCCTGTATCTACTAAACCGGTTTTTGGTGCCAGAGGTGTTTGAGTTTCAGTAAGTTCATTTCTTTTGCATAGTTTTCTTTTATGTTTACCATATCACTCACTAGTGCACCTTCTCTCCATTTCTGATATGTTCACTGCTTTTCTCGCATCGAGTGCCAACTCTCCATATCAGGAAACTTTTTTCCAAGAACTTCCTTACATACCGATCTTTTATTCACATGGACTTAAGCTACAGGGCTTCACGTACATTCATATGCTTCTGTAGATTACAGAGTTTGCCTCCAGCTAGAATTGAACTGTCAACCTTGTCTGTGAAGGAAGGAGCATCTAGACCACTAGGCTACAGAACCCTATTTCGTAAATTAATTTTATTTTAAAAATCAAATTAATTTGATTATAAAAATCAAATTAAAGATAAAAATAATGTTATAATGAATTTAAAAGATGCTTACTATAAAGAATTTTAAAACAATGCAACCTTTTATAAATAAGATTGCATAAATATTATATTTGATGCATTATATAATAATAGACAAACAGTTGATATTAGTATTAGTAGTAATGTAATAAATAATACAAATTAAACCTATTATAAAAAAAATAAAATAGAGAATTTTAAAAATTATTAGTATTACAAATTACAAGAAGGCTTAATATTTTATAACTAAAAGTATATTTTTTTTTTTATTTATTTATTTAAGGCTGATATTATCAATAGCTACAGTCTTTATTTATGTTTTTGGTCAATGCATTATATATGACTTGTACAAGTTAAGTGTGCAGCTAGCCATATATGTAACTTTTGGTTACTTATTTAAGTAGTCTGCCTTAGAGTTCTATACTAGCTGCCATGCCTATAACCTACTAAGAGAGTACCTATTTAAATACTCTGATCCTTATACTATATTTAGGCAAGTAACATCTGGTTTCTATACAACTAAGTGCTGTCTAATCTAATATTTAGTTATCTTTTTTTATATGTCTGTTAAGCTATTACATATTTCAGAATATATCACCTAACTGTAAGATTTTAGGGTACCTCCTTGTTAACTACCTACCTATTATACAGAACATTAACAAGGTTTGCTCTTGTAAAGTTCATCCAAACTTTAGTACCTACTTTATAACATATTCTTAGTACTTATAGTATATCTTTGCTTTGACTTCAGACTTCCAATTCAGATAACTCAGTAGAACTATAGCCTGTTCTTGATATATTGAGCTGACCCAATATTCTTTTTCTTTAGTTCAGTTCTAACAGCCTGGTTGGTAGTACCCTTCATCTGAAGTTCTTGCCTGTTTGGCTCTTTTACATTGGTATCTGTTTTCTAGGTCTAGCCTTTACAGTAGTACTGTTGAAGATTTCTATTATCTCTCTACTTGGGTCTTTTCAAGTAGGCTCTGGTTTCTTAGTTTTACAGATTTACATGACTACAAGAACTTATTTTGGGTTTGCACTGCTGATACTAATTTGCATTACTCTATATAACCAAGATTATACAGATGCTTCATGATCTGCTAGTCATGTTAATGTAACTATAATTACAGATATTCTATTCTAACTGATTGACAGAATGTCATTGTCATAATACTATCTATATATTATATAGGTAATTATTCAAATTTTTACTATCAGTAGATTTTGAATTCACAATCTACCACTTGGAGGTTGACAACTTATTTACTTCACTAAGTTGCCACATTCAGTATGTTATTAATAAAATCAAAAAGTATAAATAAAGAAAAGAATTAAAACTTACTATTATCATATTAAAAAATTGAAAAAGAGTATTGATATTGCCACCTTCTACTTTTGCTAATGCCATTCTTCACATGATCTAGCTGGCCTCCAGCCTTTATCACAGAACTTCAAAGTGTACTATCACATAATATATAGTATTTTTGGATTAGTTAGTAATACAAGTATAGATATTATATAAACATCTACACAAAAGATATTAACAAAATAGAAATTAAAATTGTTTGGCAAACAGTTTACTATATAGACAGAAATAGCTATTATTTTTAAGGCAAAATAACTATATATTATATAAAATTATAAATAGTGTAGAGGCATGAGTTCGATAATACATAATACATATAATAGACTTAGTGCATATATATTAAATCTTGCAATAGTAAGACACAATTAGCATTAATATTAAAGTAAAATGCAATGTGTATATATTGTTCGAAACTATATATCAATATCAATATGCATATATATAGTAAACTGCCTGATTATACATATAAAGAAAAATTAAATCAGGAGTTCAAATTAAACTTGTGCTACTGATTAGCTTTTTCTATAATTCAAGTACATTTGATAGTTTAAAAAAAAAAACAGAAAATATAAGTTCTAAGCAACACATACTTTACTTTTAAATTGAACCATTATGTTAATAATTCAGCCTATAGACAATATAATAATTAGTACTAATATGCTAAATAAGAAAGTATATATGTATGTACTAACAAACAAAAAAATTTTACAAACAAAATCATGCATTAGGGCAAGTCTGACTGTTGTAACTAGTTTTATAACATGTACCACATTGTTTTGACCATTTTTCAATATGCTCAAAGGCAAATGGGTCTTTCTGTATTATTCTTTTGTTTTGGTTTCTTGCACTAACTGGTCTTCTTCATGGTTTACTAGTAATCAGATTTTCTAGCACAACAGATAGAATATTTACCAACTCTTCTAACTGAGAACAGATAGCAACTTGTTGATGAGGTGGCCAAAATTGGTATATGTAGGCAAGAGACTGCAAAAGAGACTAAAGATTTGTGCAATTATCATTGATAATGTATATGAATTTCAAAAATTCTATTTGACAACCTTGGATCCACCATTGTTCATAAATATCAGCTTTTTGTAATGCTTAATTATTTGCTAGACATTCATTTATTATGTGTGAACAAGGGAGACCTATTGTAGATTTGAAAGTTTCTGTACAAGGTTTTAATAATAAGTTTAGAATTGCATTTGACATTTTGATTAACTTATCATGAAGCTTATTCAAAGCAAAAGTAGAAACATGATACAGAAGAGGTTCAAAGACAGAAGTTCAGTGCACATGTTGTACTTTTATATACTGAAAAGAGATTACTGCATGGATTTCTCTTGCCTAAGATTCTACTAGTGATACAATCTTTTGGTGCACTGATTTTAAATCACCTATAGATGAAGATGTAAAAAAAATAGGTTACCTATTTTAAAAAAAATATTAAACATTAAATTTTTTTTTTAAAAAAAAATTATTTCTTTAGCATTCTACTTTATAACCACATTAGTTATGTTATAATATGCTAAATATTTGAACTAAAAAACTAGTATTTCTGCACTTATTTTTGATATTTTCACACCTTTAAGTCATGTATTTTTTTTTAACTAATATTGATATTTTATCAGTTATTTCAGTATATACATATGTATATTCATAATTTATATCATATACAAGGGTGTAGAAATACCAGTTTCTCTTAACAATTGTAAATTAATAATTATAATATATAGTTCTAAACTATTGGTTATTTTTACCTGTAGATAACTGCAAACATCTTTTAAGAATAACATGTACTGCTTCTACTTGTGAAGTTACTGTATTACCAAAATGCAAATAATGATTAGTCTAGCCAGAAACAAAATATTTTTTATAAGAAATCTAGGTTTCTTAAAAGTATTTTATAACTTCAGATTTGTTAATATAATATATTATAAATTTATTCTATTTGATCATAAATTCTTGTTCAGTATTAGATGCTGTTACTGATTGCCACATTCTAATAAATTTAGTCTAATTTTTTTTCATAGTAAAATGATGCTTATATTTTGTTAAAATGTTTTTATTTATATATCACATATATAGAATATGGTAAGTATTAGAAAAAATCTTATCAATAGCTTTCATTAATGCCAACTCCTGATCTGTAACAATAACATTAGAATGAGGCAATCCACTAAAAATTTTTGATCTGCAAACCAAGGCCCACTCATAATTTTTTTCTGTTCCTTTATTTAAAAAAATAAAATAATAAAAAAATATAATGTTAAAACTTGATATACCAACAACATTTATCAAGAGCATCTTATATCTATTTGTTTTATAAGTGCAATTAACTAGTAGTACAATGGAATAGATATAAGTTAAAGCTATGGATATTCTGTGCACAAAAAAAAGATGCATCATGTAATTTTGGTCATCACACCTATATTCAAATTCAAAGTCAGATCTTTGTAATTCATTAAGAAGAGCTTGAACTAGTGTACAGCCATCAAGCCTTTTTTAACAAATAGAATTCATAATATTATAGATGGTTTTAGATATAGCAAACAAGGATGGATTATTTTGGTATATAGTTGACAGAATTTGACAAGAATAAGAACCAGTAGCAATCATTTGTTTAACCAGTTCTTTTTGATCAATGTTCAACCTTTTAACAATAGATAGCCAGACATATCTGTTGATGCTTCATAGTTATGTTCAGAGTTTTGAATCTCAAAGTGCCAAATATTATCACATCTTGTTCCAAAAAGCTCAAATGGACAATTTATAAGTTTTAAAGCTGTTTTTTTATAATATGAATTATCTGATAAATTTAATTTATTTCTATAGAACCCACTTCTATCATAGCTTAATACTACATTTTTTATTTTATCATTTCTATCTGAGCATGATCTATTTATAGTGACAGCATATTCTTGAGTTTTAGAAAAAGACCACACGTATTCAAAAAGCTTGTTATGACTTACAAATTGATGAGGTTGAGGTGGCTCATACTTGAATATATGATAAGTAACAGATGATATATTGTATACTATTGTTAAATTAAAAATCAATATAGTTATAAATTTTTTTATCAAAACATTTTTGTTTGCTTATAGTTTCACTAACCTGCTTTGTATGTCTAAATTTTTAAGTATTTAGATTTAACTTTTGGAAAAAAAAAGATAAACAATTTTTACATAATTTTTTTTTTTTTTTTTTCCCTTAAGCAGTCACGCTAGTACTTTATTAAGATTTTGGAATTACATTCGCAATTACAT